AAAGCCAAAAAAAAGAGAAAAATCGAGAAAAGCAAAAAAAATGTGAAAAAAAAAAAAAAAAAAAAAGGAAAAATCCCAAAACTCGAAAAAAAAAGTCTTCTTTTTTAAAGCTTACACACATATAAATATATATGCGTATTTCCTTTACTACATTCATATAGCCGCATTTAGCACATTCATTTACTCACATGATTTGATCGAAGTTCACTAATTATTGCCTAATAGCCCTCGTTTTTCCGTTTGTTGTTTCTTTCACTAGTTCGTATTTCTATTAACGCTAATCGTCACAACGACAAGGCTATGTGCCTCGCAAATGCCACGTATTCACAAAAGCAATTTCAATGTTAAGGCCTTACGCCTCGCAACTGCCGTGACTCGTTAAACACTTTCAGTGTTAAGGCGGCAGCCTCGCAAAAGTCATAACTTTTTTTCAGTATTAAGGCGGCAGCCTCGCAAACGTCATAATAATCCCAGTGTCAAAGCTGTAGCCTCGCATGTCATAATCTTTTCGATGTCAAGGCTGTTGCCTCGCAAACGCCATAATTTTACTGTCACGGCCACAGGCTTCGCAAACGCTAGAGCTTAGTCTAAAGTCTCTTAATCGCATAATGTCAAGGTCACAACCTCGCAACTGTCGAAGGTGCACCTCAAGTACCATGGTCGCACACAAAACGTAAAGGCTTTAAGCCTCGCAACTGCCCAAAACACTAAGCTAGGAAAATCCAACAGTGACACCCCGCACGTGACGCAATCACAATATTCAAGTGGCAGACCCACACAAAAAAATAGCATCCCCTCGCACTAGCAACGTGCCTTAAAGTAAAGGTTCAATGCCACTCGCACAATTCGCGCAAAAGTAATACCTCGCACGTGTCATTCACACATCCCTCGCAAGCGAAAAGCAATCGTTCGCACCTGCCTTACAAACTCAGCGTCATCTAATACGCTCGCATTAGCCAAAATTTTCTAATCACTCGCAGCTCACATCTTCCTTCTTTGTTGACCAACAGCTATTAAAGCGCATCGCTGGTCGCAAAGGAGCAAGACTCTCGCACAAGCGAGTTTGTATAAAAAACGACGTTCTTCTTCGCAGTTGCCCTTTCTAGTGGAACTACGAAGAAAAACAACGCATTCGTCGACGCCTCAATCGCGGCTTCCGTCTTGGTTACCACACCCAACCAGGGGAATCCGCGATTCTGGCCCCCCAAGGCAGCTACGCAGCTTTCTCTACTAGGAGACGACTGCGCAGCTTCCTTCATTGCATAACTGCAAAGTAGCTACGCAGCTTCCACCGTCAAAGGGGACGGTTGCGCAGCTTCCGTTATCGCAGGTCGCAATTGTGCCTGTACGGCAAATTTTTCGCATACACGGGTAAGCGGTGGGAGACCGCTTTGTCTTTCGCACTTCCCCGGGTACTCCACGTGCCTCTTTTGTCGGCCCATAGGGTTCTTTCGCACTTTCCGTGAGGAAAATCTCCCCCTCACACTTCGCACGCCCCAAGGAGCACGAAAACATTGCTCCGCATCAAAATTAACCCATTTTTTCGCACTCGCATCAACGACGATCATCTCACCAACTCGCACTACACCTCCCGGAAACTTCACCGCACTCGTTCATCACTTCGCCATCGCCGACAAGGACGCAGGAGCTACATCGACAATCGGAAGTCGCACAGAACTCACTTCTCACGCAGCCGCCCATCGTCGTCGTGTGATCCGCATATTGTGATGTCTTGTGTTGTAATATTTTTGTTAACTAACAGTTATTGTATTGAGACACGCTCTGACCCGGTCGTCGCAAGCGCACGCTCCCTCCCCCGGCTAGCCTGCAAACGTGCGATGGACCCAGGGACGCACGTCGACTTAGGCCCCTCGGGTAGGCTTCGGTTTTTGACGGGTTTGTACGTACAATTAGGTAAGGGAAGCTCTCCACTCCTGCAGCGCGAGCGGCTTCGTCCTTTCGCCGCCCCCAGTGTCGTGACTCCTGCACGACTTCTTCGCATCGGTCCGCCGTTACGTCCATTGCGCAGCACCGCACGCGCAGCTGTCTACAACTGCCATGTTTAAAGGACCGTTTTCGCAGGCCGCACTGGGGTCTCACCGCGCAAGCTGTCTCTTCGCTGACTATTCGACGCAACTCCCTATTTTTGGGCCCACGAGCAGTCTTTTGGGCTGGAGTCGTCGAGTGGAGTTCGCAGTCGTCCGTTTCTACGTCTCATTCGTCCGTCTGCTCATTATCGTCGTCTCTCCTCCCCCCTTTCCCCTCACCCACGAGCCTCGGGCTCGTCCTTGCCTGACTTGTCCCACCGATGCGCGCGTGCCAACTGGGACACTATTGTCTAGCGGCATCCCCGACGTCCTTCGTCTGAGGAATATCGCAACTGGATTGGAGGAGATCAGGACCGCAGGTAGCTGGAGAGCCTCCATGGCCCAGTCTTAACGCAGGGAGCCGGCACGTAGGTCTCTTAGCTTTGTTAGGTGTTTCTTGATGTTTGATTAATGATAAATAACCTTCCACATTTTCTTTTCCCTTTTTCTTCACGTGTTTAAGCACGTTTTTTATTTACGATTGATGCATTGCTCATTCATTGATATTTGATGTGGCAGTTTTCGCACGTGGGTGACAGCCCCTTTACCAACTAGTCGATTGCCCCGTTAGGATGTCCGTAATTGATTCATATGAGAGTAGACATGTTATCACGCTTCAAAATATGGGACTGCCGGGACCGCAGAAGCCCAAATCTCGGGGAACCGCAAACGGGCGCAAAGGGCATTCAGGTTAAGGGGATGAGGACCGCACGCGTTGCCGCGTGGCATGGATCAATACTAGGCGAGACCCCCCTTGGACGCCATGGGACCCAACACGGCGCGCACCTCCCTTTAGGAACCACCGCAGGCAGGAGGCGCGTCACGACAAATTGCTCCTCAATTGGTTAAAAAGAGTGGTGATCTGAAAAGTGGTGAATTTCGGTTTGGAAAGTGGTGAATTTGGTTTGAAAAGTAGTGAATTTAAAGTGAAAATGGTATAGACTATCAGCCCACTCCTGTAAAGCAGTGAAATATAATAGCATACAAATGCCACTGACCATGGTGGCTAGAGGAACTTGCTCCAGCTTCATAAGTATTAACAAGTTTTACCACCGTTTACAGTGCGACTTGATAACGGAACTAGTGAAGCAGCGAAATTCTAAATCCCCCCCCCCCTAATCGCCAGACAGCGCCTGTCTGCGCCCACGACAAGGCTTCGCAGTGACGAGACAGGAACCAACACATCTCGTTACCCCAGGAAGCACAGAGGCCGCCAAATGACCGGCTCGCACACACAAAACCTATGGCTGCCTGCAAAGGATCAGTGACAGAGCAAATAGCGAGCTGCACCAGCGGTACTGTAACCACTGGGCCATTTCAGCAGTACTACCAATAAAGAGGGATACTAGTAGCATTTTCCTACCGAACAGAAAAAATTAGTGCCACTTCGCTCTCCTCACATTGATCGAGCGGACTTCAAGTCAGCTGTTACGTTAGCTGGAGCAACCTCCCTGCCTCACAAACGTCAGTTGCAGTATTTATCCTTGGTGTTATTGTTACTATTAAGAACCCTGAATGTGTGACCAGTGCATCAGTCTGATAGGCAGGCCTCCGATTAATCAACTCACTTGGGGTACAGCCCCGTTTTCCAGCCCTCAACGTTCCAAGCCACCCTTCACATTGCACGAGGGACTCGCTCTGAAGTCGCTAGTCGATTTCACTCCGGATGAAAGGGAAAATTCAATTCGAGGCAGAGATCACTATCCGTAACTTGGAGCACAACAGGGGAGGTCCCATCTGACCGAGAATGGGGTCGTATTTTGTCGCGAGATACTTTTCCGTGTTTTTTTTTCTTTCACGCGCGCTATTTATACCTGGTCAGCGGGCCGCGAAGCTTCTAAGCTTCTACTTCCGATTTTCGATGGCTGAGCGGAGGTGTTAATCACTTCGTCCCCTCCCCCCCCCCTCAACGACGAATCTACCGGAGAATCTGAGAAGATGCAAGTAAGCTGGGAAAGGGGGAAGGTCGTATCATCTTGCCAAAAGAGAGAAGGGGAGGATGTCGTGTTTTGCAAGAATTTCTCACAATGGATGATGAGCCCCGATGGAAGGACATACTACTAACTCTCTGCAGCAGCTATCCAAAAGAGAGTAGTGATTCAACAGACACTATACAAAACAGGGCACGGCGTACACTGGGGTCTCCAGCGTGAGTGGGTCTATTCGGTAGCTGGAGGGCTTGGGAGAGGGAATCATCGAGATGCCACGGATTTTTACTGTTTCACATGCGCTATTTGGGCTCTTCCCCCCACCTCTA